CTGATAAAATCTCCTGATGATGAAATGGGGGTAGAATTTCCCTCAATCAGCAAATTGCTTTCAATACCAAGCATTATATTTTTTCTTCACTAATAAATTCCCTCCCTTCACTAACTGGCAATTAAATGTCAAATGAATCAAATAAACTGGATGCTCCTATTGCTCAGTTTAGTTGACAGCAGTCTCATATGATCTAGGCATTAACATTCTTTGCTTCCACAATCAATTTCTCCAAGTGCTGCTTCTGCCACAGGTTTTTTCCTTGTGTTTCTGCCACAAGACAGCCAGCCCAGTTAGACAGTATGTTTCCATTTCCAGTGTGTTTCTCCCTGTCTAATCCTTGTGTTTTACTCAGCCATGGCCACAGACTGAAAAAACTGGTCCCTTGAGAAGAATATTGTATCTGCAGGACAAGTATTGTGCCAAATCACCAAATCTGATGCTCAAACAGCCTTCTGAAAGTTCAGGAACACATTCTGCTTTGTTTCTGTGATACAGACTTCATGAACCTTAATCTCACCCTTCATTCTCTTTCCCCATCATCACCCTCTGAAGCACTTTCACCGGGATTCTACTTGCCTCCAGCTTTGGCACAAATCCTCAGCTACAAGGGACTACTTGCACTGAGAGTGTTCTGCTAAGCACCCCAGTGAACTTCTCAAGCATAAACACTTAGGATCCTTTGGTCATACTTGGGTTTTCCATGGGGGAAGGTACAAGGGAAGAAGAAACACGTTTTGTTCTGTTTCTGTTCCCTGGACTGAAAAAGAAAATGAACCTGAACGTCTTGGGCAATTTTTAAATTAGTCCCGAGATCCCTTAGCAAAAGTGGTCATGGCAATCACTGTTCTCAAGGAAGCTGCTCCACTGGTTCACCTTTTAGGCAAGCAGCTGTAAGTTTCCCATCTTCTCCATCCTCACTGCCTTACACTTCTGACCCAACTGATAAAACCTACAATTGATGTTGCTCCTGAACAAGATGCTAGGTAGAACACTACCCTACCACTAAAGTGAAAGTTTGCATCTCTCTCCTTTCCTACTGATGGAAAAAGTCAGTAATCTTATTAACTGCAACAGCTGTAAATAGTTGCTGTTCCAAAGCAGTCCCACGTGGCCTGGGATGGCCCTGCCTCCTTAAACTCTTGAGCTCCAAGAACAATCATTCCCACCCAAAGTCAGTAAAGCCTTCTGTTCCTTAGCTCAGTACATTCAAATTAAGTAGCTCCTCTAAATAAATATTTTTGTCCAGTGTTTCATGAGTCTTCTCTTCAAATCACAGTCCCCTACTCCCCCTCCCCGACTGACAATGGCCTCTTCGCCCACATTTTGAGATTTCCACACTCTTCTTTTCTGATTGTGTCCTGAGTTATTCATCTTAATAGTTCCCCTGGACTCAGCCTGGAACCTCCCTTTAAGTCACTTGCTCAGTCATCTAATCATACCCTTAATCCTTCCTGGCAAATCCAACCCCAACCAGCTACTCGAGCTGAGAGAAAGAAGGAAGCCCTGCCCTAGCAATTACATGGAGCTGGTCCCATGCCCTTACAGAAATAAGGACATGGAATTCCTAGATCATATTTCCTGATAGTAACTGTTCCTCTGACCATCTTTTTTTGCTCTTGATGACCGCTAAGAATATGTTTTTGACCCTTCTATCTCTTTTTGAAGATTATGGCTTCCTAAATTATGTCCTTCAGCCTCTTAGGTGAATATATAGTTACAATGGACTTTGGCCTTTCATGTAAGGGGGTCTGAAAACTAGTCACGGGTGGAGAGAAGCAAAGTAGCTTCTCAACAAATGAACAAGCAAAAGCATCAAGCTAATGCTGAAAATGTATTTGATAATATACTTGGGGAAAAAGTAACAGAACACTGCTATTATTCCCAAATGCAAGACTTAAAAAACCAAAACCACAAACCAATCAGATTTAGACAGCGTGCTTAATGCTAAAACAAATTGTAACATCCACTCAAAACCATTTAGGCTCATTATATACTTGGTCTTTTGGGGTTTCTTTGGTCTGAGAAAGGTCAGTTGCTTTTTAAATAGCACAAAGCAAGGAAAGGAAAACTATCAAATCTTTAATGTACAAAAATAAAGCAGCACAAGACTCAGTGGGATGTTCTGGCACAGTTCTACAGAAGTGTCATCACAGGAGTCCGAGGCAGCAGGAGAAAACACCTGCTGGCAAGACAGTCTTGCTGAATACAGAGAACAGGGCTGAAGACACACAGGTGTTCAATAAAAAAATGGAAGTGGGAAATTGAGAGAATAAGTGTAGGAGTAGTAGTGGGAATAAAATTTCTTCACATTTTGTTGTGTAATTTTGCTGTGTAGTAGTGTTTCAGTATGATTTATTGTGTAATGCTATTGCATAGCATCATTTGTTGAGCAACTTTGCTGCGTGGTATAGTTTTTTATTTAATGATATTGAACATTAGGCAATGGTGTTGCATGCCATAATTTGTGTTTTCTGTTGAGCAACATTACTGTCATGGCTCTTAACACAAAGGTGAATTGCATGAATTCATAACAGTGCTGAATTCACAATTTTAACATATAGAATGGCTTGAGTTGGAAAGGACCTTAAAGATCATCTACTTCCAACCACTCTTCCATGGGCAGACACACCTTTCACTAGGATTTCAGAGCCTCATCCAACCTGGCCTTGAACAATTCCAGAAATGGGCACCCACAAGTTCTCTGGGCAACCTGTTCCTGTGCCTCATCACCCTTGCAGGAGAGAATTATTTTCCTATTATCTAAACCTACTCTCTTTCAGTCTGAAGCCATTACCTTGTCCTATCCCTACATGCCCTTTTAAAAAGTCCCTCTCCTGCATCCCTTTTAGGTACTGGAAGGATGCTGTATGTTCACTCAGAGATGGCAAATGGAGACAATTATTTTTATCTGAACAAAGAAACATGCAGAAAAGCAGCAAACTGAGCAAGTATTTTTGCAAAACTTGGGGCATTAAAGATTATTTCACTGAACAGCCACACAGCATTGCCTCCTGAGTAACACTTTCTTATCCTGAGCCACCTTGTAACTACAATGTGACACCTATCACTACCTGACTGTAAAAACTACAGGAGAACCTTGTTCCACATACTACTGGCTATAAATAAGAACTGTAATGTGTTTTTCATGTGACTTAGGCTCTACTCAAAACTTGCCTTGCAGGGACCTGCTGTAATCCAAAATCGGAACAAGAAACTTTCCACGAGATAGGACTGATTACTTCATTACAATGGAATCCTACTTTAATAGCAGTGCTACTGAACTTAAAGCAAAAATTAAAAATTTTACTTTAGTAAATCAATAAGACTTACACATATTTTAGGGGCAATAACAATGTCATCCTACTACTGCTTAACATCCTCCAAAGAAGCAGAAGAAAAAAGTTTGCTCTATGTATAGTATCATAGTTAGTTACTTATTGTTACATTCTTTCCATTTACTTACTTTTTCTTCTTTTTTTTCCCCCTCAGATCAGTTTTGCTTACAATAGACATGGTCTATTGACAGACTTAAATAACATTTTTGAATTTCAGGAAATATATCAGAATTTGAAGTATTTTTTCAAATAAATCAAGTAACCTATAAGGTTATCAACTTTGTACCCACATCTATTTTTATATCCATCTGAAAATGCTATTGATTGATCAGAATAGCATCTCTTTCATTCTTTACCTGGCAGTCTATGAACAATTGTATGTTGCAAGAGTCAGAGAGCAAACACTGGTAGATTACAATGCAGTGCTGCTGCAAGCATTCCTATTTGCTCTCTATTCTGGCAGTTTTTAAAAACAGAAGAGAAAAATACGCATGCAGGCTCAATTTTTAAAACACAGCAAAATACAGAAGGTATGGAAAGGCAAATTGTGAAAAAAGTGAGCTCTTCCATCTATAACATAAGATTAATTTGTTATGTGGCAGATGGCAGAAGGGAAGGGGGATGGAAAAGCAAAGACTGCTGATGCAGTGAGCTTCCCGTCTGTAATGAAGGCCCCACATTCCCACCCATCACACTGCCACCAAACACATCCACACTTACATGCACACCAGTTTTGCTCTGGGTTTCAAAATAGCTAAACCTCATCGCTGCGTGGACAACGAAAAAATGAAGAAAACATCCAGAGGAGTAAATGATCCTTCTGCCAGCTGCCCGTGGCTACTCACAATAGCAGCTGTGAAAGCGACTCCTTTCATTTGACACACGAGACAGAACCATTCACGCTGACCAATAACACTGCCAGAGCTACCGGCCACTGCAGCAAGGCACCACCTCATTTGCTGTCCCAGCACCGCAAGCTGCTTTTGCACATTTCTCCGTATTCCGAGACATTTACTCTTCCTTCAGCATCTGCCACATTGCAGTCGTGGAGTGCCAATACAGGAGTGGAGCACATTGAAAACGGAAAACAGCAGGACTGACCCAAACACACAATATAAAATGACAAGCTGCTGCAGCGGCGGTAACAACCATTTCCTCATTGCTTTTGCTGAACTCCACGCGATGCCGACGCGGGGCTCCCACCTGCCGCAGGAGCCAAAGCCCGCCTGAGCTCCGGCACCACTTACCGGAGGGCCTCGCTTACCTCCGACATCAGATCCCCGTATGACGAGCCCGAGGCACGCCGCGGCGGCAGAGCACCGGAGGAACACGGCCCTGGGAAGCGGATTTCGCTCCGTCCCCCCGCGGGCGCCCGGGGGACGCGCTCACCTTGCCGCGGATCGATGCCCCGCGCACCCCGGGCCGCTACACGGGATTAAGGCAGATAAACAAACACCGCACCGAGCGCACCCGGAGGGCCGAGGAGGGCAGGCGGGGGTGAGGTGGGGGGGTCTGTCCCCGCCGCGGCCCCATCCCGGGAGCCGGAGCGCGCTCCGCGTCTCCCGGGAGATGGAGCCATTTTGAGCCGCTGCGCATCAGCGCCGGCGGGCGGGGGGCGCCGGGCACGGCGATGGCGGGGCCGCGGCCGCCCTAGCGCGTTACCTCGGATGCTCCAGGTCCAGCGGTAGAACTCGAGGGTGTCGTTCACCACGCTGGACACCAGGCCCATGGCGCTGGGGGGCTCGGCGGCGGCGGCACCCATGGTGAGCAGCAGCAGCAGCGGCGGAGCCGGCAGACCTGTCTCGGCGCGTTCGTCCGTGCCTCTGCGCCGGGGCTGCTGCTGCTGCTGCCCCTTCTACAGCCGGGGATGTGATTTAAATCTCTATCTCTCCGTATCTTCCCTCCAGACTCCGCCTCGCTCCCGTCACCGGCTCCCGTGCCCCGCGGGCAGGGCGGAGGGCGCGGAGGCGGGGGGCGGCGCGGCGGCGGCCGCGGCTCCGCAGCTCGGTGCTCCCGGCCCGGCGCTCCCGGCTCGGTGCGCAGCGCCCGGCGCGGTGCGGGCGGGCGGGGGCGTCACGTGGCCGCCGTCCCGCTGCCCCCGGCGGCGCCCGCGGAGCGCGGCCCCACGGCCCGGCCCGGCCCGGCCGCGCAGGCGCCCGCGGCCCCCCCGGAGCAGGTGCGGGCGGCGGGGACCGCTCCTCCTCCCGCCGAGGGCGTGCGGGGGGCGAGGAGGCGCGGGTTATCGCAGCCCGGCTTTTTATGTTCAAATAGGGGTTTTGATTTTTTATTTTACCAGAAAGGGGGAAAATGAGTGTTTCAGCCAACTCCTATCTCCTTTCTTTCTTTTCTCTTTGTATAAGTTTGGATCTTTCTTCTTTCTTCCCCTCTTGCTACCCCTTGACAGACACGCCGAGGGTCCGCCGTGAGCGATGCTGGTTTTACCTCCGTCTGTGCGTATCAAGGCTCTTCTGCTGCTTCCAGGAGCCTTCGCTAAGGTCCCTTCTCCTCCCAGTACGGGTAACACTAGCAACCGCAACGTGACCTCGCTTCCTCCCTGCCCCACCACCTGGTGGCACTTCCCTGACCAGCCTTCTCCAGGTGCCACCCAGCTGCCCTTCGCACACCCCCCCTTATCTCCTGGACCAAGGCCCCTGTGGTCGCTTCATGGAGCAGAGAGATGCAGCTGCCTGGAGTGTTGCTGGGTGCTGCAGGAGAAGCATCCATATTGCACCCTGTGTTTCAGTCCCAGCAAACCCTCTGTCTGGTGTAAAGGCACCACCTGCTCCTCACACCCTTTGCTTCTTATCTCCTTCTTGGCAGCTTGTCTGTGCCATGATCTTGCATAGTGCAGATGGATGCACGACACCCTCGGGAGCGAGGGGCAGGAGGGGACCTGCTCCACCCAAGCTGCAAGCTTTCCTCCTAGCAGGCAGCACATCAGATGGTGTCTGCCTCTCCCTCCTCCAGTGCAGCAGCACCTCTGTCACTTGTTGTCACCTGGTCTTGGTGAGCACAGCTCGCACTCCTCCTCCTGGGTGAGTCACCCCGGCTTAGCTCCTGCACTGCTCTGGCTGCTGGGATCCCAGCCTATGGACAGGAGAGGCACACGGCCATCACTAGTTACTCCACTGGAAGCAGAGTCACTGCACCAAAACCAGGGGGTTGGCAGTAGGGATCACCTACACTGGGGAAAGGAAGAGGAGCTATGTCAACACCTGGAGGCCTCGATGGACAGGGAAGTCCAACTTATCCCAATGCTGGCTGAAAGCTGGAGTGAAGCAAGGATGGCACATGCAGATGGATGGACAGCTGCTACTTCTCTCACATGAAAACAGTCAATCAAAATTCTTCATGAATTACAGAGACTTGAATTATGCCTTATTTTGATGGTGCTGATAGTGGCAGAAGGTCTGGTGAGAGCTCTGAAATGGATCTGTCACTGGGTAGGGCAAGGTGAACACCAACCTGCTTCTCAAGTTGCAGGCAGACAGTGCAGTGTTAGCTGTGCTTCCTGCGCCTCCAATAGGAGAAACCACTGGAGTGCATTCCTGGACATTTAGTATCTTGATATGTGGTTAGCATCCTCTAAAGCACAGCAGCTTCAGAACTTTTTGTAACGTTGTCATTTGAATCAAAAGGAAATCAGGAGATTGGGCCATAATCCTCCAATTGGCCGTTTGTGTTGGCCACATGCTTGAAACAGAACGGCTACTGAGCGAATCAACGTGACAGAGGTTTGCACTTCCCTGCCCTGTTGAGCAAGATGTGGACTTATGAGAGTGCCACCAGCACAAGGAGTGAAGATCCACAGTCTACCAAAGAACAAAAAAGGAACAAGACATATTAGGAATGTGAATACATATTTCTGTTAATAATTATTTATATTATAGCTTACATATATTTCTTTATTAGAATGCCTGTGGAAGTTTTTTTGCACAACTGACACCAATAATTATTGTTTATAAAATGTTTATATCATCCAATTTACTGTTTCATCTATTTCCAATTAGGTAACTTTTCTTGATGACAATTTAATCCTTTATATTAGCAATATGATTGTACATAGATAATTTCACAGAGCCATTAAGGCTTGAGAGGAGCCACAACTGAGTTGCAGAGTTTGGACAACAGGGAGAAGATGAACTATCTAACCAGAGTAACTTCCTCTGTGCTTTAAGATTGCCTTAAAAAACATGCTGAAATTTACGGCTAACTATTTTCATTAGTTTAACTTTCACCCTGCAAATATGTGGACATGCTTTTAAGATTAGGTCTGTGTCTGGGCTTCTAAACACATCCCGGCTAGTTTTCTACATTTGTGCACCCAGCAGGGTATGCTACCTTGAGAATGCTGAGACCATGTCTTCTACTCAAAGAGAGCAGAAGGAGGAAGGCATCCAAAAGCATAGTATCAAAATATCCTCCAAAGAAATCTCCAGCATGGTCGTCAGAAAATGACAATTTTTCAATATCATTAGTTGGTCAGTGTTGTCATTTTCTACTTGATAATCTACTCATTCCTAGAACCTGGACCTCTCAGATGGGCAAATTTCTGCTAGGAAAAGGCAGGTCTGTGGCAGCTGACTCCAGAGGAACACACACATGAGTTGCCAGCTGTGCTCCGGCCATTTGCCCAGTGCTGCAGGGTGCTTGTGCTGGCAGCAGGCAACTGTGTGCTTTGGGAAGGGTGCAGAAGGTAACGGGAGGTTGTGGAATAGGTGGCTCTAGGAAGCTCTCCTCCCAGTTCCCATTCCAGATACAAGCTGTGTGTATTTCTTCCAGATATTTTTGTAAAAAAAACCCCTATATCTCATTTCAGAGCTGTTTCAAGCCATTTTCTGCTTCTTCATGAAACAAACAAATAGCAATAGAAATGTTACAGCTCATGATGATCGGTGCCTTTAGTTGTGCTTGTAAAAAGTGCATTTATTCATTAATTTCAGTGAAGCATATGCTACCATGATGATTGATGAATCAGCAGATGCTTCTGCACTAGTTGAAAGTATTCCCACTCAGGTTTTGCTTCAGGTTAGCAATGAAATTGCTGTGAGGGGAAAATGCAATGCAGGTATATTTGGTAATATTTATGAAGTGTAGTAGGAAGAAAGCAGTCAGAGCTTTGTATGTTGCCGCCAGTGATCCCTCCAGGCAGCTCAATAAAAGACAAAAACAGCAGAAAAGGAACTCTGCCTTCCTACAAAGAGAATCACCACAACCAAAGAGAATCACCACAACCAGGAACTTACCTGGTGGGAAAGCATAAAATTGCTTGAATCAACACATTTGACAGATCTAAATGTTACAAAATGTGGTAAGGGACAGCCTATTCACTTATCAGTAAAGAAGGTGCATAAAGTATTGTATACATTGAAGCATAACCAAATTTAAATGATGAAAACACATTTAACTTTAGAAATGGGTTTTAATTACTTGAATTATTGAATTCTCTTGTCTTTTCATTTGATTCCATCAGTGTCTTGGGAGGGAAAATGATTAAATAAATTAGCACATTAATTTGCAGTGAATGGGATTTTCTTGCACAGCTTATCCAATTGATATGCTCCTTGCATTAAAACTTTCAAGTTGATATGCCTTATAAAGACTGCTAGCTGAGCCAAAAAAGCTCATTTGATCTTTGAATCAACAAGTACAGGCTCAAGTTTACTCATATGCATACTATAAAAGCTTAAAAGAAGCTGCTTTCACACAACCATAATATTTTAAAATAATAGCATTAAAACCAACTATGTGTCTTTCAGCACTAATTAATTTGTTTATTACGTAACATTCTGTTAATTCCATAATTTGAGGTGGGGTAACTCTGCACACAGGTATTCTACAGCACAGAGACTCTTCCATGGGATCTGAAACAGATCTGGCTTTTTGTTTTCTAAACCATCTGCTAGATGCCATCTGTCCTTTCATACATTTATCTGCATCAAAAGAATTTTTCCAAACCAAATATATTGGACTGATGCATCAGAAAGTGTCCAGAGATGCTAATGCTCAGTGCGGGCATTGGCCAAAACTCACCCTTGATGTAAGTTCCCACAAGGTTCCACCTTGCTGTTGTTACCAGCACTGGATTGGATCTCTCATATGTGTCAACTTCATGTTTTGAACATCAGCTATTTTTACTGTGGCTCTAACAGCAATATGAGAATTAAAGTATGTTTAATATCCTGGTTTAAATAGTCAAGGGCCAGACTGAACAGTCCCAGTGAAGTCAATGCAAGTTTTGTTTCCAAAGGGCTCTCTATACATACTGACATTTACTCTTCATCTTTTTGCATAAAAAATTGGTGCCAGAAGATGAGGGAAGTGGTGAGCAGCTTTCTCCCAAGCCATATCAGGCTTGACTCTCAAGTAAAAATATCTGTGATTTGACTCAGGATCATTATATTTAGGGGTTTTTTTCTAAACTGTAGAACAAACCCTGTTTACTGCAGTCTGGGCAGAGACTGGAAGTGTTGGCCTGCAGTGCTGGGTTGCATTTAGCTTAAACTGCTGCTCTTTGTTGCTTGTTCAGAAGAGGAGCCACTAGTCCAGTGTTTCCCAGCACCATTCTGAGTGATTAATTTATAATTGATTCCTGTGTGGGAAATGTCACTAACCATGAAGCTAATGTGGACATCCAGCATAGGAGATGTGTTGTGTACCCAGCAGGTACACATACATTCATAGCTTTACCTGCATTTCAGCTTCTTTTCAAAACTGAGTGTTCAACAGACGTGAGGATGACAGAAACCTGTATATATACTGTCTCGCTCTGCCTTGACGATACTTTTCTTACATGGTTTCTCATACTTTTACACAGCTAAGATTTTTATCTGCGGTGATATCTGTCACAGCATCTATCATTTGTGAGGTGTGGCAAGCACGCTTTTGCAATGAGGGCTTCATATGTGTACATGCTGGAGAAGGACGATGCTAAACTATGGGCTGATGTTTTGAGGGCACTGT